ACTAGTTTCTTTGTACGTGCGTTGTATGTGTACCTCGCGCTCATCAATAAATAATTAAATAAATAAATAAAGCATAAATTATTAAAAAAATAATAGTTTACACTAAAACAAATGCAATACTTTTTAATACTAAAAATTAATATTATTACATTAACATAGTAATTGTATTCAATATATCCAAAATATACAAACACGATAAAAACATATAAAAAAAGAAGAATTCTCATATTTATCATGATTGAAGAGAAATCTAGTGAGTGTTAACGGTCAAGATCACAAAAAAAAAATCTCTAACGACAATTCAAAAAATATAGAGAACTGTCATTTGTTGTAACAAATGCAAAATGAGAGAAAAATAATTAATGACAACTCAAATAAATTATCTTCTATTATTTCATCCTTATTGCTTCAAGTTTGAATTATTTTAATTAACTCTTAATACTACATCATCACTGATTATATTTTATTTTCTGATTGCTTTTACCACGAATGCTCTTTTTATTAAAACAGGTTTATGTATCCTAAGAGTTTTTTCACTTGAATTTTTTTTAACTAATATGATGAATTTAGAAAGGAATTGGATAGAATTGTTTTGTTAATTGGTTAATTCAAATTATTCGGTCTCAACATTAACGAAAATAATTTATTTTTATTGATTCAAATTCTTAATATTAGTTCACCCAAATTTTAAATATTTAACTGTAATTATAATTTTATTTACTATAAATTTTGTATTAAGGGATAAAAAATCGATCTGATAGTTTACTTTTGGATATTTGTGTTTGCAGAATTATTAATGTTACCAAATACTTTTCTAGTCTCTCCCTCTCTCTCTTTTATATTTTTAAATAGTATCTTAGTATTTTAATTTAATTATTAAGCATAATTTTTAAAGATATTATACAAAAAAAAATACTAAATAGAAAAATATTGTTTGGAGAGAAAAGTAGTTCAAATATAATAGTATGAACTATTATAGTTCACATATAATAGCATGAAAGGAATTATAATTATGTTATATTATTCAAATAAAATAAATTTATGTAAGATAATTAAATATTAATTGGCTTTCAAGTCCAAGATAAAGATTTAACAAAAATAATTAAGTCCAAGAAAGTGATATATTTTAAAGTATTAACCTTTATTTTACATGTATATTTGCACATTTTATTCATGATAAAGCTTTCTTGGTATTATTTCAAAATGTTGTAGTTGATAGTTTTACAACTTATACGAAAACTAAACGTGGGAAAGTTATATTACTTATTTAAAATCCTAAAGGCCTTTTAAATATTAGGCATAACGTTGCATGATCTATTAATTACTTTAATTTCATTAAAAAACACGTTAGTTTGCTCTTTTTTCTATAGAATCTACATCCACTAAAAGTAATACTCCTATGAAAATAATTATAGTTACGTTATATATGGAGTTCAAACAAGGAAAAAATATATGTATGGTAAAATACTAATTAATATTAAAGTCCTAAATTTTAGGACTACGTACCTATCACAAATAAGGAAAGATTTAATAATCAAAATTTTAGCCAATTTTAGAGTTCTAAATATTAGGGAATTAATTAAATGACTATTTTATCCAATGTGAAATCTATTTTTAAAGGGTAAAAAAGGCGAACGATATTTCGCTAAGGGCCTTCGTGCTTTTAATATAGTACAAATATAGATAGATATAGATTAGCAACAAAATTGACCATATTAACTTTTACTATCTCTTCACATAAACACTCCTAACACATACTCCAATATTATTTACTCCAAGGACAATGTAGGAAACAAATAATTAATTCATTCTTGAAATCTAAAAAAAATCATTTATTTTGGACCACAAAATAAAGGCGAAAAAATCACTTATTTTAGACCAGAGGGAGTATCTTTTATTCTTATTTTCTATGTGAACAGATACATTGCACCAATATAGACTACTTTGGCGTAAATGGGTTCAACGTATAAGGGTCAATTTTTTTAATTTAATTTTGGTCTCAATTTTGAGATTTATTTCTTATTTCTTATTTCTTAAAACAAATATACACAATTATAAACTACATAGAAAGAGATATAAATTCTAATATTTTACAATTAAAAACATTTAAATTATATACATACAAAAAAGTTGTATTCAAGAAAAAAATTACTTAATTCTCCAAATAATAATACTGTAGAATGAAATGAAACAAATAGAGTATAGTATAAAGGACTCATCTAATGAGTTGCAGAATTTTAGTTATTTCCTTTTTCTAGGACTAAGAAACTACATACTACTCCCTCATTGAACCTTTTTTGTATTTCTCTTATGGATTTCTCGAACTCCAAACAAGAGAAAGCAAGATGTTTTTGCACAGGTAATTCAAGAGAATAAGAAAGAAACACGCTCCACTTAGTCAAGTT